CGACTGTACAGCATTGCTGTTACTTGACGTAGTGTTATGTGGCACTTGAGTTTCTCTGAGGTGGGCTTCACAAACCCCGGAAGATTTGGCCGTGCAGGCCTTTGTGGGTTCTGGGCACAGGCACTAGCATCGCGCTCGCACCTGTTCATTCACTTCTTATCCAGTCAAGAACCCCCAACTTTAATAACTTAACCGCCCAGAAAGTACAGGGAAAGAATGGGGTTTCACGGGGCAACAATAGCATTATAAATGTATCCGCGAGGAAGAAGCTGTAGTTTATTAACAAAGCACGCGGCAAAAGATTGTTAATGAGCGCCGCGTAAAAAAGACCGGTTTTGAATTATGAACTCGCTCATTGAGTTCGCTCTCTCTCTCTCTCTCTCTTTACCTTTTGGACAATAGTATTGTATTGTTAGTATAAAGACTTGTAATGAATTTTCCATTCAAGAAACTAGAAAGAAGATGATTCGGTCTTTTCGCTCTCTCCACCTTTAATGGCATTACTTTACTTTACCTTACCTTACCTTTACTTTACGTTACGTTACTTTGCTTGGCTTTGCTTTGCTTTGCTTGCTTTGTTTCTCTTTGCTTGACGGTACTTTTCTTTACTTTGCCTTACTTTCCTTCGCTTTGCTTTGCTTTGCTTTGCTTTTGCTTTGCTTTACTTAACCTTACTTAGCTTTACTTTACTTTACTTTACTTTACTTTACTTTACTTTACTAGCTTTACTTTACTTTGCTTTACTTTAATTTGCTGCTACTACTACTACTACTGCTACTACTACTACTATTATTATTACTACTACTACTACTACTACTACTGCTACTGCTACTGCTACTGCTACTACTACTACTACGAAGACGACTGCTACTACTACTACTACTACTACTACTACTACTACTACTACTACTACTACTACTACTACTACTCCTACTCCTACTCCTACTCCTACTCCTACTCCTACTCCTACTACTACTACTACTACTACTACTACTACTACTACTACTACTACTACTACTACTACTACTACTACTATTCCATTCCATTCCAGACGCAGCCGCAGTCTCGATCCACAGCTTAGCGTACAGCCTAGTGGCACTCTTCAAGAGCGCCAACGGATTTCCGTTACAACATGAGAGATCATGAGAGAAGAAAAGGCAGGTGATCCGCTACGAAAAGCCTGCAACCGCCAATCACACCCACGGACAGTACATGAACTATACAAGCACAGGTGCAAAACATGTGGTCAGCTAGGATGTACCGCACTCAAGCAATCAGTTGAGGACCACCGTGGAGAGTTCGGAACTACAGTGACTCGTCGCATCACGCAAGTTGCCCCCGAACTAGCCACGGGCCAACCCACAGATTCCCGATACGGCTACGTGGGGAACAGGAGCCAACAGTCCACAACGAATGTCGCCACATCTCCTTCCAGTTATTGCGTTTGAAGGTGAGAGCTCCATGAGTTTGGACATCAGAGCAATTCCACACATTGTCGTATCCTGATTGGAATTCCTGTGGCCGAAGAATCGGCACACACAGATGCCCTGGTTTCAAGACTAAGGGCCCAGTCATAACGACTGTCACACGTCCTGGGTGAGATCTTGCCCATGTTGCCCATATATATGCTGTGTTCCGCATTGCTTCAACGCTTGAGTTTCTGTTGAGGTTTGTTGCGTCTCGCTTCCCCCGGCCCCTGCGGACAGGACCGGAACCTTCACACCATACGCAGACCAAACTAGGTCTTGAATCTTGAGCAGGTTGTAGAGGCATCTGCGTACCCCGGACTTGGGACCGGGCCGGCTCTTTTGTATTTTGCTGACACCCATCGTCCAGCAAGCACCACTTTGACGAAAACACTTCCTGTCCTGCATCGGAGCGCCGTCGGCACGACCCTGTTTTCCGAGAACAGAGGAGGCCCCCGTTGCTCATCCCTTGCATGACCCAGGAATAAAGTGTCGCCATTCTGCAGAGCGGCCTCTTGGCAAACTGCGCAACGCATCGGCTTCTCACAATGGGGCCGTTTTGCACAAGCCAGGGGCCGAGAAGTACTTTCGGCTTTGGATTGACCCTTGCACAGCTCCGTCGGCACGATGACGAAAGCCCTTCCTGTCCTGCATCAGAGCGCCGTCAGCACGACCCCATGTTCCAAGAACAGAGGAGGTCCCCGTTGCTCATCCCTTGCATGACCCACACGTTAATTTGGGCAACGCGTCGGCTCCACAATCGGGCCGGAGTGCACAAGCCAGGGGCCGAGGAGTACTTTCGACAGTGGGTTGATCCTTGCATCACAGCTCCGTCGGCACGACCCCATGTTCGAAGAACAGCGGAGGCCCCCGTTGCTGATCAATTGCACGGTAAGGAAAGTGATAGGGTCACGTCACTAAATGGCGGGGCAGTCCGGTTCAGAAGGTAACAGTAGTGCTTGAGGTAGCCACATGTACCAAAGCCCCATTGGCACGACCCCACGTTCCAAGATCAGAGGAGGCCCCCGGTGCTTTTCTCTTGCAAGGCCAATCGTCCAGCTGCATCGCTGTGGTGCGAAAGTTCATGGATTTGTTTGTAAAGAGTCACGTGCCACTTCCTGCCCACGAGCATTCAACACCGCCTCTAGCGAGCTAATCCGTACCTCCATGTAGGGGAAATCCGTGAGCATTGCAAAGGAGGCAAGAGCCATAGAAGCAGGCGCCAGCTATCACTAAAAAAAGGAGCCCCGCTGTCGGGACATAGCTGAGCCGTGGTGCTTACTACTACTACTACTACTACTACTACTACTACTACTACTACTACTACTACTACTACTACTACTACTACTACTACTACTACTACTACTACTACTACTACTACTACTGCTACTGCTACTGCTACTGCTACTGCTACTGCTACTGCTACTGCTACTGCTACTGCTACTGCTACTGCTACTACTACCACTACCACTACTACTACTACTACTACTACTACTACTACTACTACTACTACTACTACTACTACTACTACTACTACTACTACTAGTACTGCTACTTCTACTGCTACTACTACTACTACTTCTACTGCTACTGCTATTGCTACTGCTACGATTACTACTACTGCCCTGCCATTACTACTACTACTACTACTACTACTACTACTACTATTACTACTACTACTACTACTACTACTACTACTACTACTACTACTACTACTACTACTACTACTACTACTACTACTACTACTACTACTAACTACTACTAACGACTACTACTACTACTAACTACTACTACTAACTACTACCTACTACTACTACTACTACTACTACTACTACTACTACTACTACTACTACTACTACTACTACTACTACTACTACTACTACTACTACTACTACTACTACTGCTATTGCTACTGCTACGGCTACTGCTACTGCTACTGCTACTGCTACTGCTACTACTATACTACTACTATTACTATTACTACTATTGCTACTACCACTACTACTATTACTACTACTATTACTACTACTACTACTACTATTACTACTACTACTACTACTACTACTACTACTACTACTAGTAACTAGTAACTACTAACTACTAAATACTAACTATTAAGTATTAACTACTCACTACTAACTACTAACTACTAACTACTGACTACTAACTACTAACTACTAACTATTAACTGCTAACTGCTAACTATTAACTACTAACTACTAACTACTAACTACTAACTACTAACTACTAACTACTAACTACTAACTACTACTACTACTACAACTTTTATTATTACTATTACTATTATTACTATACTATTACTATTACTGCTACTACTCCTACTACTATTATTACTTAACTATTACTATTACTATTACTATTACTATTACTATTACTATTACTATTACTATTACATTATTACGATTATTATCTATTACTATCACTATACTATTATTATTACTATTACTATTATTACTATTACTATTGATTATATTACTCTTACTATTACTATTACTATTACTATTACTACTATTACTATTACTATTACTATTACTTACTATACTATTACTATTCTATTACTTACTATTACTATTACTATTACATTACTATTACTATTACTATTATATTATATACTATTTTACTATTACTATTATTATTACTAGTTAGGTACTATTATAGTTACTAGTTGCTATTACTAGTAGTACTATAACTACTACTACTACAACTACTACCCTACTCCTAATGCTACTGCTGCTGCTGCTGCTGCTACGACTACGACTACTACTAACTACTACTACTACTACTACTACTACTACTACTACTACGACTACTCCTACTACTACTACTACGACTACTACTACTAACTACTACTACTACTACTACTACTACTACTACTACTACTTCTATTACTACTACTACTACTATACTACTACTACTACTACTACTACTACTACTACTACTACTACTACTACTACTACTACTGCGACGGCGACCACGACCACGACCACGACCACGACCACGACCACGACCACGACCACGACCACTACCACCGCTGCTGCTGCTGCTGCTTCTGCTGCTGCCGCTGCCGCCGCCGCTGCCGCTGCTGCTGCTGCTGCTGCTGCTGCTGCTGCTTTTGCCACTGCTCTTGCTACGGCTACTGCTACTACTACTGCTGCTACTGCTACTGCTGCTGCTACTGCTGCTGCTGCTACGACGACTGCTACGACTACGACAATTACTATTTTTCCGACAAGCTGTAGCAGTACTGGCAGTCGTGGTTGCAGCAACAGCAGCAGCAGGAAAGTGGGGTTAGGAGCAGTACAAGGAGGAGAACTCGCAGCAATAGCTAACGATTCAGAGCTGCAAAAGCCACCTTGAAGCCCAATCCCTAAACCCGGTACCTTTCTAAACGCAGGCACTCGGGCGCGAGGCCCGATCTCTGCACGCGGCTGCCATCGTCGCGCAGGCGCCACCACGTATGCGGAACTGCCATGATTCAGGGCTTCAGTAATCAGGACATCGAGGATTTGGTTCAAGCCTTTATTTGGCACAGTAGGGGCTACGACTTAGAGTACTACAGTAACAGGTACTGGCAGCATAATGGGCTGCAGCGGGGGGGAGGGGGGGTTGTTGATGGGCATTGTGCCCTCATAGTTGGGTTATGTAGGGTCTTTAGTTCTGGGCTTCAAAACAACGACCCTGCTCGTGGGCAGCTTGACAAAAGGAAGATCCTTTCGAGCGGCCCTGGTGTATTCGGACCTGTTTGAGGGCCAAAAAAGACCTACCTCTAGAGCTCTGATCTAGAAACTCTCCCCGAATCCTTCTGTTGATTTCCGAACCCATTGAGAACCTGCGAGGCAATGGCTGTGGAGTACTTCGAGGAGGATGACTTGGATGCCCCTGAGGGCCCCGACGAAGCTCAGAAGGACCCGCAGTTTGATGTCTGAGGGTTTAAAAGTTAGCATCGAGATCCCAAGAGAGACGGGCCACTTATCTCCTCAGAGAGAGAGAGAGACAGAGAGAGTGAGATGTGGATTGCTCGGAATAGTCACAGAAAGACCCTCCAATCCACGAGAAGCTCGTGAAGCACTTCACAGAAGTAAATTGGCGCGGAAGCGCTACAAAAAAAGCGGTCGGACACAGAGGGTCCCCAATAAAGAGAAGAAAGAGACCCCCTTATCGCGGCGGCCTCTGGAAGCATATCAAGACCGTGAATGACCGTGAGACACTCACCATCATCTTGGAAGGTCCTGCATAGGAACTAAAGTTTAGTCATTGTCCCTTGGTTAGCAGCTACACAAGTTACCGAACAGAGTTCGGGAGAAGAGGTAGCAGGCCTGCCATAAATACCACCACCCCACAACCGGAAACCTTGAACCTCTCAAAGCCAAAGGAGGACGAAGCCCCGAAACCTTGATCAATGAGAAATGCGAGCATCACTTCTACTTGTACTCACAGACACATGCAGATAGAAATATATGCGCAGTAATATGTATGTCCCCAAGACGCCATACGTGCCGTATCAATGAGGCAAGTCAAGCAAGTCAGCAAGTGGAGGCTGCAACGGTGCAAGATTCTACCGTTTCCCACCTTTTTTTCAACAATGAAACAAAATCTGTCTGCTTCATAGTGTTTTTTCGCAATGCAATAACATCCGTCTGCCTCACAATGATAATGCCCACGACGCCATTCAGAACTCTCTTCAAAGATTTCGAAAGCCGGCCGTTTCAATTGAAACGTTTCCGTTTCAATTGAAACGGCCGGGATCCAAGATCCAAGATCCAAGATTTCCCAGGACTCTTGCCGAGGCATCTTGGAATCCTAGATCTCGAAAACCGGCCGTTTCAATTGAAACGTTTCCGTTTCAATTGAAACGGCCGGGATCCAAGATCCAAGATCCAAGATTTCCCAGGACTCTTGCCGAGGCATCCTGGAATCCTAGATCTCGAAAACCGGCCGTTTCAATTGAAACGGCCGGTTTGGGATTTAGGATTCCAAGATGCCTCGGCAAGAGTCCTGGGAAATCTTGGATCTTGGATCTTGGATCCCGGCCGATTCAATTGAAACGGAAACGTTTCAATTGAAACGGCCGGTTTTCGAGATCTAGGATTCCAAGATGCCTCGGCAAGAGTCCTGGGAAATCTTGGATCTTGGATCTTGGATCCCGGCCGTTTCAATTGAAACGGAAACGTTTCCATTGTTGAACTTCAAAACTCCGGGTTCCAGGATTCAAGATCCCGTGGAAACTTTTCCTGCAATCTTGAATCTTGGATCCCGGAGTTTTGAGGCTCAAAACTCTAGATTGAAGTTCAAAACTCTTTGAACCTCATAGGGCTAAAGTTTGAAGGTTTAGGGCTTCAGGTTGAGGCATTAGAACCTGAGCCGGCAATTAAAACTAAACCCTTAACCTTTAAACCCTATAGGGTTAAGGTGTTAAGGTTTAGGGTTTACGATTTAGGCATTCAAACTTGAGCCGGTAGTTCAGCCTAAACTCTCGACCTTTAAACCCTATAGGGTTAAGGTTTCAAGGCTTAGGGCTCAAGATTTAGTCATTTAAGTCTAAGCCCATAGAGTTTAAACCTCAAGGGTTTAAGGTTTATAGGTATGAAAACATGAACCCTAAACCCTCTAGGGGTCTAAAGGGTTCAAGGGTGTTCAGCCCACAGGCGCTGAAGGTATAAATGCCCAGACCTTGGGTACATCAGGTTTAGGCATTGAAACCTTGAAGCCCTATAAGGGTTTTTAAAGGTTTAAGGTCTGGGGACTGAAACCTAGGTTTGGGCATTCAAACTGGTTTAAGCCTTAATCTCTGTAGGGCTAGGTATTTAAACCGAATAGCTTACCTTGAAACGCTATAGGTTTAAAGGTTGAGGTTCAAAACTTTAAAGCTCTGGGGTTTAAAGGTTTAGGATTTTGCAGAGTTTGCCTACCCTATTCGGGGTAGCCCTATAGGGTTTTGACTCTATAGGGGTTCAAGGTTCAGGGTTTAAGAGGGCATTGCAACAACCCAACCCTAAACCCTCAGGGATTGAACCCCTTTACTGTTATCCTTAAGCCTTAAAGCATATAGGGTTTAGGGTTATAACGCTGAAGAACCCTCAGGGATTTAACCCCTTTACTGCTTTCCTTAAGGCTGAAAGCATAAACGGTTTAGGGTTATAACGCTGAAGAACCCTCAGGGGTTTAACCCCTTTACTGTTTTCCTTAAGCCTTAAGGCATATAGGGTGTAGGGTTATCACGCTGAAGGTATAAATGCCCAGACCTTCGGTACATCAGGCTTAGGCATTGAAACCTTTAAGCCCTATAAGGTTGTTAAAGGTTTAAGGTCAAGCCTTAAACCCTATAGGGCCCTATAGGGTTACGGTTTTTTCAGGGTTTATCAACCCTAAACGCTATGAGGGGTTTAAGGTTTAGGGTTGAAGGTTCAGGGCATTGCAAAAACATAACCCTAAACCCTCAGGGATTTAACCGCTTTACTGTTTTCCTTAAGTCTTCAGGCATATAGAGTTTAGGGTTATAACGCCAAAATCTATAGGGCCTAAATCCTAACCGTAAATCCCATAGAGTTCTGCCTATGTTTGTAGGCCTCGCCTCCTGTGGAAATGCAAAGGAAAAGTAGAATAAGTACCCACGGCATGTATGTATATAGGGTATATATGTATTGCATATCAAATACAGATAATGGAGATCCTCGAACCATAAGACTATGAAGTATTCGAGCGCAAAAGGTGATGCGGAAAAAATCATGTACTGTAAGCCCCGGGGACGCGAGAATACTATGAGCAAAGACCTTTTCACTATTTCCCTCTTTATTGCCGGTTCGGTGTCTTGGGTTGGTGCAGGATCGGTTACCTATTGTTACGAGGGACTAGATCGGAAGGGATTCTGGATCGTAAAAGCATTACAAAAGGGCAGATCTCTGGGGGGGGGAAGCATATATATATATATATGGTACCCCCCCCCCCAGTGACCTACCCTTTTTCGCCTTGTCTCAAGTCACCCAGCTGCACTGCAAGCAAACTCGGTGTGCAATATAGCGTATTTCCTAGGGCGTAGACTAGAATACAACTAAAATCGCATACACGGGACAGTAGAAAAACCAAAAATACCAAAACCAAAAAAACCAAAAAACCAAAACCAAAAAAACCAAAAAAACCAAAAAAAAACCAAAAAAAACAAAACCAAAAAAACAAAAAAAAACAAAACCAAAAAAACCAAAAAATACCAAAAAAAACAATTTTCCGGGACTCTCAGGAAATCCCTATGAGGCTTCTCCAAGAGTCCCGGAAAATTGGTTTTTTTGGTATTTTTGTTTTTTTTGGTTTTGGTTTTTTTGGTTTTTTTGGTTTTGGTATTTTTGGTTTTTTGGTTTTGGTATTTTGGCTTTTTGGTTCGCCTTCACGGTCACGAGGCAACAACTACGCATTTTTAAGTGTGCTTATGCTAATTGTGCTTTTCAGAAATAGTATACAAGTGGTCTTTCTAGTGCTTCAGAACTATTTGTTTCGTTATTATGTAAGTAGAGCCGCTAGTGTTTAGTGCATCTTTTGGTTGTACTCAAGTGTAGTAGGCCTTATTCAGCCATTACTTGGTGCTCTGGTAGCTCAATTCGCATGGATAATATTGGCCTGGTAAATGCGATTAATTATCTAGAAGCAGCATTTGCAATACTTGTCTTGAGAAAAGCATTTATTGCTTAGAATTGTTTGCTTAAAAAGTGACTCCTACTCGTCCAGGAATACCCCAAAACCCTATAATCCAAACTTTACCAGAGATTCTCCTCAAAAGCTTGCGCTTTTGGATGTTTTTATGTATTTGTGAATTTGCTTGTGTATGGCCTTCACTAAGTACTTTTCTAGGATTCTTGTGCAGTTTTTAAGCCTGATTGTGCAAGTTGCGTTTTTCAGGCATAGTATATATGTGGTCTTTATTGAATACTTCAGACATCTTTGTTTCATCGTTATGTAAGTAGAACCGCTTCTATTTCCATTATTGTGCATTTTTAAGCTTGCTCATGCAAATTGTGCTTTTCAGATATAGTATATAAGTGGTCTTTAGTGAATACTTCAGCAATCTTTGTCTCATTGTTATGTAGGTGGAACCGTTTCCATTTCCGCAAGTGTTTATTTCGTATTTGGTTAAGTATGGTCCTTTAAATAGTATTCACTTGAGTCAAATTGGGCTATTTGCTTAATAATTCCTCTAGTAGTGAAATTCGCATAGAATGAATACTTCAAAAAAATTGTTTCATGAATATGTAAACATAAGGTGTTTCACTTGACTTTGCAGATAGTACTTCAATAATACTTTGCCTGGTATAAACACAACTGTTTCAATGCATTAGTTGCTCAACAAAGCACTATTTGCCCTTTAAACCACACTTTGCCATATGTTGGTTGAATAGGGTGCTTCTTTCGTATTTTGGTTGAGCATGGTCCTTTAAATGGTATTCACTTGAGTCAAATTGGGCTATTTGCTTAACAATTGCTCTAGTAGCTAAATTCGCATAAAATGATTATTTCAAAAATAAAAACGATTCATGAATATGTAAACATAAGGTATTTCAGTGGACTTTTCAGAGAGCATACTTTGCCTAGTACAAACACAATTGTATAAATACAGTATTTGCAATTTAAACGCACACTTTGCCATTTTTTGGTTGAGAATGGTGTTTATTTCGTATCTTGGTTGAGTATGCTCCTTTAAATAGTATTCACTTGAGTCAAATTGGGCTCTTTGCTTAATAATTACTCTAGTAGCTAAATTCGCATAGAACCAAGAAAAATGTTTCACTAGTTGATTAATACTTTGCCTCGTACAAACACAACTGTATAAACAAAAATAGTTGCTCAGCAAAACATTAATTGCCCTTGAAACGCACAAATTGCATAGAAAAAACACTGATCTAAACATCTAAAAACAGCATTGTCCGCTACAGATTCAAAATGTAGATTCTTCCAATGCTGGCTTATCGGGGTCTGTGAGGTGGGTGTCCCAGTAACTGTCCTTCATTACCCGGTGATTAACTACGCGACTTTTGGGCCTTCTTTGTTGTTTTTTGTGAAAAAGGCCTAAAAAGGCCTAAAAAGGGTAGGTCGCTGGGGGGGTAGCATATATATATGTATATATATATGTATATATATATATATATATGTATATATATATATATGTATATATATATATGTATATGTATATATATGTATATATATATATATGTATATATATGGATACATGTATGTACGTACATGTACAATATGTACACTTCTTCATTTTACGTGTGTATCCATATCTATCTAAGCAGGATTACAAGTAGTTGTTGTAAGTATTTACCTATTCATGAATACACTTTGGTTGCCTGGATGTTTAGTTAGCTTTTTTTACCAGGGCCTGAGTCGAAGTGTTCTTAGATGCTACGGTAAACGCATGAGTGTCTACTGTCATGTAGCAAAGGTAGAATCGAGAGTGTAGTGTGAGAATTATGGAGTATAGAGAGCCCTTAACCCTAAACCCTGATCCTAAAAACCCTGAACCCCCAGTAGAAACTCTACAGTCTGAAGCTTGAAAGGCCCGGAATTCATGAGCTTTGTCTTCTTTCCAGGAGACGGCGCGAGTGGCCGCGGCCTCGTTGGCACCAGCGCCTGGATTCCATGCAGATTTTGTTTGCTCAGACTGTAGTATAATATATAGCATACTAGGCTAACGGACTTGCAACCCAGTGCAATCACGCAGGCCCCTTTTGCGCCTGCTCGAGTCCACAGTGCCCCACAGGTTGCGGCAAACAGCTACTCTACAGGCAAGCTATCAAAGCCGTCATCTATGCGCAAACATGCAAGAGAAACTTAAAGAGACTACTGGCAGGCAGCCAGGACACATTCCCACCAGCTGATGGCTACACTTACATGCACTCAGAATTCGCCCCTCAGCCGTCGGCCATTTCGAGCGAGGCAACCGAGGCAGGTGGCGTTACGCGCGCCGGGCGGTGCCCGCAACCCTGGGACCGCGGCACACTACTTCAAACTACTTCAAGAGCTGCCAAAACTCTCTGGAGAGGCTGACGGCCTTCTGTGCGGAGGGAGGCACGCGGTGGTCCCCGAAGTGTCTGCTGGCAAGCACGCGGCCGAGAACGACCCGAGGCTACGTCGCGCAAAAAGAAGTGCGAGGTGAAAGCGGTGTCCAAGGCAAGGCCGGCCAAAGCCATGGGCAAGGACACAGCCTGAGCTTGACAAGTTTCTTCACTGGCGCTGGCCCACGCAGCCTGTGTTCTTCCCTGTGTTCTTCAACGCACTTGGGCTTCGGCACGGTGGTGCCGTTCGGGTTGCGGTTGTGCCCCATCTGTATTTTGGTGATATAATATGTCATCATGCAAAAAAGGCCGTCGCATCCTTATCGAGCTGAGTTTCGGGGCACGCGTTGTGCGACAGTTTTGTTCTGCTGCATGCTGCTGTTCCGTTCTTAGAGCAGCGTTCCTCAAAAGGCCTGCAGCCAACGGGTTCAGCTTCCAGCAAGGTTGCGGAAACAGAACCCTAATCCCTATAAGCCCTAAACTCCTAAAGGGGGACTGCGGGCTGAAAGCACCACATTGGGGGCTGCGGCCGGCCGCGAGATGATGGCCCAGCTCATGCCGAGATCCAGGGTTTCGACGGTACTCGTAGCGTTTAGGGTTTGGGATTAGAGAACTGACCAACCAACAAGGAGCATACAGAGGCTTCCTTTTCGAAACGCTTAAATTACTCAGCTTTACCCAAAGCTGTAGCCCTGATGGTCAGAACTCAGTGCAGCGCCAATTTTGCTGTGATGCAATCTCTTTCTAAGCCCATGGCAGCATTCCTTTGAGCTTAGTTCTTTGACTCTGTGCCAAACTCAAGCTTGAAATGCATTGAGACTTTGCCCAACTTCCACACAGCTGGTCTGGCAGGGTGGGAGTGTACAACCTGACTTCGCCTGTAGCAACAGTGTGCTTTCAGGCTGAATGACATAGGGGATCGGGGGTGAATAAGCCACTTGGCACTCCCTGCTCGCAAAGAGCTAATAGCTGTTCACATTGGCAGGCTGCCAACGTCCCCATGTTTTCCAACATCATCCAAGTTGCCCTCCAGCTCCACACTGCCCATGCGCAACCTTCTTTTGGAATTTAATACATGTAAGCATATCAAGTTATTAAACAACTACACCATACACCGGTTGATGGTTTAGGGTTCCTTGATTATGCAGCGCAGCAGCGTGACCAGATGTCTCTGCTTCACGCCTGCGACCCGCCAAGCCCGATGGGTTGAAGTCCACCTCATGCTGCCTCTTGACGTCAGTCCTGGGGGTCTGGTACCACCAGGCGCCCCCGACTCTACGGCAGTCCAAATGAGGCCCTGCCAATCCTCAGACATGGGCAGAACAACGCATCCTTTTGTCAAGTGTGCTTTGTGCCCAGCGCCTGATTAGTCTTCCTGGCGCTGCATCACTTGGGCCTGGGCTTGGCTGCGCAGCCAATGCTGCTGGAAGTCGAAAAGGGCCATGGCAATTGCCGGCAAAGCCCTGCAATGCAGCGGCCAGCTGCTGCCAGAGGCCCATGGTCAAAACTAGGGCTTTAGGTCATACCCAGCTTGCAGGACGTGCTGAAAAATGGCCAATGCTGGAGGTGGCGGTGCCGAGCAAACTAGCAGCCGTGCTCATCTGGAGCCAAATCCATCAATTATGTACAAGCACTACAGACAGGCAGCAAGGGCATTTGCCGACAGCACCCCTGGAACATTTCTCTGGCTACATTTACACGCACGCATCTAGTTGGTCAGGCTGCTGGGGATGAAGGCATCGTGGTTTTCTGCAGGGGCCTAACCCCCAAAACCCGAAATTCCACACCTCAGGCCAAAGCCCCTAAACTTATGGTAAGTGCGGGCCTTGCCAACAGTATACGACAAGTGTAGGATACCAGGAATGTTGTTTCCATGTCGGGCAGTTTGTAGGTCAGGCATTGATTGGAAGCGAAGAGCTTTGAGCCCGGTTGTTCATTTACATCTGTCCCGTGCGAACAAGTTGTTTGTTCTGAGTCACTCGGGAGAATGTTGGGCCATGGTCTCAGCGAAGACGGTACAAGTAGCACAAACTCCCGGCGAATACTACCTTAACCCTAAACCGTTGACGGCAGCATGCGCGGAGCACACGGTTTTCTTCATGCGCTCTTCTGGATCCTAAAATGAAAAATGTAAGATGTTTGACCAAGTCCAAAGTCAGAGCAAGCAAATTTACATAATTTGATTGCGGTTTAGGGTTCCAACTTTATTTGGCCTCAGGACCATCCTCTGGCAATGTTGGTGCGGCAGCCCCGCGGCAGCAGCCTAAACACTTGGCTGAGTGCGGGCGCACTTCGCACCTGCGGGAAGATGTAAGTAGGAAGAATGGATTCCTTCGTGAGTATGCGGGTGAGCATTCCGGGCAGGAAGCAGCACTCCGAACAGCTCCCGCTCATATGCACGGTATCAAGTATAAAGGGTTCTTGACAAGGAGCTTCAAATCCGGTTGTGAGGGAGAGGGCGGGGGGAGGGCAGCACCCTGAAGGACCCTCGGAGTGGCACGCCCAGCAGGCGGCCGCAAGCAGTCCACGCTGGGCACACCTTTGACGCCGGGCCTTAATTGAGCTTAGCTCGGGTCCTCTGAGGGTCTAGGGTTTCGGGTCTAGGTCCCTACATCAGGACCCTACCCTTATATCTCCCTAGGAAGCTCTCGGGAGGTTAGCACAACAAGCTTCAAAGCGCCTTTTTTGTGGGGAGGCCGGTTCTGGTTGGGCATGGAAATTCTTTACTTACCAGGACCTAAACCCTCAATCTCTCGAATATCCTGAACCGTACACGTCTAGAACACCTAGAACCCTGGAGCCCCTTAGTGCCCCCAGAACAAACCCTAAAACCCGAAGCCAAAACGAAAACTTAAAACCCGAAAGCCCTAACCCCCAAAAGCGTTCAACTCTAAACCATGAAAACCTAAGCCCAGGAGGAGAAGGGTCTCCAATGTTCCGCTGCAGCCCTTGGCGTGCGAGCGGCGGCGGAGCTCCGGAGGCGGACGGTTTCCGGGCTTCGGATTTAGGGTTTTGGGTTTTGGAAGTTGTTTGCTCTTGCGGCTTGCACACGGCTGCTCGGAGAGCGTGAGTGCAGACACTTTCCCGTAACACGCCTCGGCCTCAGCACGGGTTCAAAAAGGGTTTGGGGTTTGGATGTGTTTTTTAGGGGTTGGAATTTGGAGGTCTAGGGAATCCGGGGGGTGTAGAGTTGGTTGAGAGGTTTAGAAATTCTAGACGTGCAGGGTTTATAGGGGTTCTTTCGGATGTAGGAACCAAAATTATACTACACTACACTCCTGGCTTGGCTTGTCTCATCAACCTAGCACGCCCCCACGGCACCGTGCCTCAAAGTTCCTCCAGGCGGATTTTGTATCTTAGCTTGAATGGTTCCGGCTGGCTTGCTGAGGCCTTGCAGGAACGTGTGACTAAATGGTCTGGCTATTCAAAGTTAGCTTCTTCAAGTCCACCCACCGATTGGAATACAGAACTGGTCGCCAGCATGGGATTGCAAGCGACGCGAGGAAAGAATGGAGACCCAGTCCTTCAACCCCAAACCCTACACCGCTCTAAAGCCTAACGGGCCCAAACCCCAAATCTGATGCTGATGTCCAGCCCGAACAAGGTGAGCCTGTTGCCGATGTGCTGAAGGAACAGCCCAAGGCTTGCCACTGTTTTCTGGTACCAATACTGCTTTGCTGCTTCTACTGCTACTCCTTCTACTCCTATTCCTACCAATACTACCACTACTCTTACCAGTACTACCACGCACCTGTTTGGGGAAAACACACAAAGTATATCCTGGTAGAGGAACACAATCTGAACACAGCACAGGTCGTACTAGACTTAGTAGAGTAACACCACATAATAGAGCAGCACCGGATGAGTAGAATAGTCTACACAGAGTATGTAGTAGAGTAGCGACAGGCAAGCCTGAGCTTTGAGCAAGACTTAGCCCCGAACTTCGAGAACGCAAAGGGCAAGCCTGAACTTCAACAAGACTTGACCCCGAACTTCGAGAACACAAAAGGCTGCGAAATGCTGTACTACGCTTTACCTTTAGGTTTAGGACCTAGAGGACTTACTGTAGTAGTTGTTCTAGTACGCTGTAGTCCGCTGCAGTATGTTTCAGTAGAGTACTCCAGAACGATGGTTGAGGCTGAATCGTCAGGTAAGAGCGGAAGTTGGAATTCTTGGGTCATTGACGTAGTGCCTGAATCCCAAATCCTAAACAAAGACCTACCGGTAAGAGTTCCACTTCGGCTGTCGGCACCAGGATTCGGGCGAGAACTGTTGGACCATTTGGGTCTTGAACGGCCTATGGGGTGTAGGCGAAGGTCGGCTGCCCCTATTCCTGCCTCGAGGCGGGAAGTCCTGTAAACTTCACTCTAGAGCAGGGTTTAGGGTAAGGGTTTGCAGTCCCCTCTGTGCGCCTGTCACTATTCGCAAAGTCTTCTATCAGTCGGTGCGCAGGGAAGGTCGTACAAATCGAAGGAGCGTAGTGTTTGCTTCATAATGCACTACACTGACCCTTAACCCAAGACCCGAGCAAACTACCAACGCAAAAAAAGAACCAAAACCTCAACCCTGAAAGCAGGATTGGGCACCAGCAACCCCCCCCCCCACAAACCTCCCCAAAACCCTGAAACGCTAGGCCCTAGGGTTTAGGGTTTAGGGAGAAGGGTAAGCCCTAAACCCCTGAGTCCCAAACAAAAGTGAAAGAGGAAGGGCGATCCGCATCGCGCAGCTCGCACCGGCACCGGGGTGTCAGCGCCGCTCGGCTCATGGCGTTCGGCGGTTTTAGGGTTTTCGGGTTTAGTATTTTAGGTGTTTTTGGAGTTTTAGGCCTTGCGGCTCTTCTGTGAAGAGTCCTAAACCCTAAACCCTAAACGGTCCTGGTGCCGATGATGGTTCAAGACGGTCCATGGTGCAAACCAGGGTTTAGGACTTGAGGGTTTCATTGTTTTTGGTGTGTGTTCGGGGGCCGCCCCGGTGAGTGAGTGACCGACCTCACCCGCAGCAAACAAACAAAAAGCGCGCCCGCACACGCAGCTTCAAAAGAACGCCCGCAGCAAGGAAGAGACCGTACCCCGCACATGCTGCAGGAGTGGTTGTACGTGTGAACAAGTGTTCACAGCAGGGCTCGCAACAGCAAGTAGGCGCCTTGTCATGCCCGTCCGCCCGAAGCCACTGGCTCGCACGGAGAAGGTCCTGCCTGGTCTGCTTGCCCGTTACATTCTGTTTGGCGCGTCGAATAAAGGTAGCGAGGGGAACGTTGCACAAATGGCATGGAAAATGTTCGGGTTTTGCCTTAGCAGGTCTGCGAATGATGAGATGGATGTTGATGATGATCGAATACCTTCGTCCTGGACGTGGACATGAAGGATACGAATAAATGATATTGATGACGATGATTATGTTGGAGGTCGGACAGCTACATCCTGGACGGCGTCGTCGTCGTCGTCACAGGTACTGAATAGCGACGGGCAGGATGCTGGATAATGCTTGCCTGGATGATGTCTGAAAGAGTTTTGACGGATGTAGAGTCGGCAAAACCGATGAGTGACATGATGTGCATGTACAGTTGCATGTCATGCTAAGCTCTCTGCATGTCTGAGCCGCCGCAGTGCGCACGGAGGAACAGGGTACCATAGTCGGGGTAGCCAGACAGGAGGAGATGAAGGACATGCAGACTAACTTCACCGCGGATACACAGCGAGAAAAGACGGGGTAGCCAGACAGAAGGAGATGAAGGACATGCAGACTAACGTCACCGCGGATACACAGCAAGAAAAGATGATGAGCACGACTGCAGTTCGGGAAAGGGACGACCTGTCCACTGAGAAGAAGAGACATGGAGAGCATAAAGAGGGACGCGGCTGAAACGGAAAGGAAGCTGAAGAGACAGCTTAAGGCAGCTGCTGATAAGGTGCCAGTTTGGCAGCTGGATCGGGTGCACAGGTAGCTTGAGCATCTTTCCTTTGCAACAAAGACTCTTACCATCTATTTCGCCGCAAGCACCTCATCCCTGGCGACTATCGTGAGACCACATCAGCGTATGCTTCGAAAGAAAGGCGAAGTCCTCTGCCCCTCCGCCTCCCCGTCCTTGAATTTCAACTGCCACCTCCCATACCCTGAAAGCTAGCGGTCTGGGCCATCAGGACAGCTCGGCATCCAGAATGCGGCCAATGGGCAAGGAGGCACCATGATGTGAAATATGTTCATAAGAGAACGATGCAGTACAGGGTAGATGGAACGTGGTATAGCATGACGGGTATATACGGGTATACAGACTGTCAGACAAGTGTCTTACAGTATATGCAAACATTAGAGTGTACGGCATAGAGCAATGTTGTGTAGTTTCACGTGTCGTATGTTCTAGTTAGTTAAGAATAGGCTGAAATCTTAAGGGATCTCTACTCGCGTGTGACTTATTTTTTCATGTGCATGTGGCTGCATGTGGCTGCCACTGCATCTTCCCTTGTGACTTTTGCACGCACAGGTACAAACATCGTCAGTCACAGCGTTTTGCTAGCACGTTTATCGTTATTGTCGTCGTTGTTGCTCTTGTTCTCTTTTTCCTTTGTTGTTTACTCCTTTCTTGGGGTCTGTTCCCGGGCTCTCTTCTCCGTGCGATTAATAACCCCAAAGCCCCAAACCTGAAAGCTCCGTCGCAAGCAAGCAAGTAGAACGCACTACTATCAAGCACGTTGGGCAGCAAGTGGAACACGCTGATCCCCCCCCCCCCCCCCCCCCCCGCCACCAGCCTCCGTCAACGCTGGCCACCCCCCCCCCCCCCCCCCCTCCTGAACACGCTATCATCAGGCCCCGCCCCCCGTTGTTGGGCACCAAGTGGAATGCAAACCCCCCCCCCTGTTGTTGGGCAGGAAGTGGAACATTGTTGAGCAGCAAGTGAAACACGCTATCATCAACCCCCCCCCCCCCCCCCGGCCGTTCTTGTTGGGCAGCAAGTTGAGCACGCTATCCATGCCTCACACAGCAAATCACAGGCCAAGCATCGCGCATCTTGCCGTGCTTTTCGATACCACGCAACAAATCGTACCTCTTGCCATGCCTCGCCAAAATACTAGCAAATCACAGGCAACAAATCGCAACAACTCGTACATCTTGCCACACCTCACCTAAACACTAGCAAATAGCAAATCACACGCAACAAATCGTATTTCTTGCCATGCTTCCCCCCGCTCCCCCCCCCCTTTGTTGCTCAGCACCCCCTCCCCCCCCCCCAGTTGTTGGGCAGCAAGTCAAAGACGCTATCATCAAGAACACGCTACCATCAACCCATCCCCCGCCCCCATTGCTGTTGGGCACAAGTGGAACACGACACGCGCCCCCGGCCTCCCACCGCCTTTCCACCCTGCTGTTCTCCCCAAAATCCAGACTCATTTGTGACTACGAAGAAGTCACAAGCAAATCACTTAGTTCCAAAAAGACGCAGGTGAGCGGGAGCTACGTTTTCTGCAGTTTATAGTTGTATGTGAGTCGACAACAAAAAGCAATCATCCGTGAGAGAAATGTATAGTCACAAGTGACCCCAAAATGACAGTCCCAAGTGAGCAATTTTGGTAGTCACAAGTGAGTGGTTGCCCCTGATTCTTGTTTCCCGATCATACGGGCATACGGTGCATCGCTAGCTTTCCTGCGCAGCGCACTGAGATTCCGTACATGACGCATGATAGCGGGGCCACCCTACACCACAAGATGTCGCACGCTTGCTTTCTGGCTCGGCATTGTACTCTCTCACAAGCAGTAGGGTTTTTTGTTCTTTTGCGCCTCCCTCATAAGTAGGAACGCGCTCCTGAATTCGAGATTTGCACCTTTCTAAGACATACAACAGGCGCCCATACCGCAGGCGCCTGAACTGGAAGACCCCTAAACCTTGAAAGCTTGATTCCGAAGCCCTTTGTGTCGTGTGCAGGAGCGCATGGACGTTTTCAAGCAGTGCCCTAGCTGATTCGTCATCATCCCTTTTCGGACCGTGTTACTTTGGTGCACCGTATAATATCACGCTAAATTACGGCATTGCAGACGAGCAATTTCATAAGCTTTATGTATATGTGTGTCTATATATATATATGTGTGATCAACCTGTTCTGTACCTTATTTCTAGAAATCGGACATCAAAGATAGTGCTTCAAGGAGCACCAACTCCACTGCATAGCCTGAGTCGCCCAGCTTACCCAAGCTCCCAAGCCTCAAGCGATCCTGGGGCTTGGAGTGAATTGGAGTGTGGGGTTGAGTTGAGGGTTGAGGGTTTCGGGTTTAGGGGGATGTACATCTACCCTTGGAGGTATCTTCGGGACCGGGAAATGGCTCGGGTGGCGCACCTCCTGGCCCTGAGCGCCTCGGAGGGTTTTTTTTGTGTGGCCAAGGCCGAGAGCGCAAGGCCAGAAGCCCATGTCGGGTGGTTTGTAGTACGCTATAGTGTAGTGTGTATTTCAGTATAGTACCGTACCACTACGGTATTTCG